GGTGTGCTGGGTTCTCTTCCTCTTCTCTGCGGTCTTGGTTGTGTGTGTGAGCTTGTGGATTGCTTTCTCACCTGATGGATGGATGGATGATGTATGTACTCTTAATGACATATCTTTCTACGGTGCATTGTCTTTTCATTTCTGAACGGCAGTAGAAGTGAGTTCTCGGTGAAAGTTGTCTTTTCCTTTTCAGTACGGTAGAGGCAGTTTGGGACCGACTTGGCACCCCTATCACGTTGGTCCTGGTCCACGGCCTATTTGGGACCCCTCGGGACCCAGTGGGACCAGGCCCAACGGGACAGGACCTTTTGGGCCCAAATCTGTTGCAGCTGGTGCGTTTCTTTGTTGTGCTAGAATTGGGGGACACACGGACAGCAAGGGCATTCCTTTCAAGGGGATCTTGACTGGCCTTACCGCAGGTTAGCACATACCGCCTCGCGTCTGATTCGGCGACCATCTGCACCCCTCGAAATCTCCATTGCTGCAGATTAGTCTTCTTCGTCTGATTTATTGTGTTGACATGTCCCCTGTCAGGTTAGACAAGAGGGGATCTCCAGCTGATCCGATCGGGCCCGTTCTATAAATCAGACGTCTCTGCTGTTTTGTTTTATTTATTTTTATTTATTCTTCTGCTGCGTGCCACGTTCTCAGTCCAAATGATTCGCCGCTCCGGCCAGGAGTTCTAACTTCTTCTTTGAGTGGTTTCCTGTTTGTTTCTTCTACTTGAATGATCTATGTCCGATATCGAGACGCGTGCGCAGACAGCGAAAAGAGAGGAAAGGGAGAGAGAAGGTGTGCTGTTTGAGAGTGTGAGAAGGGGCAAGAGGAGTGTTCGTCCAAACGTCAGGAGAGACCGGACCCCTCTTGAGAGTTCTACTGACACCCCTTCCTCCGGCATGGTGAACATCACATCTGCCCAATGGCAGGCCATGCTGGATACAGCGGACGAGAGCCAGAAACCATTCTTTCAAAAACTGTATGATGATGCCGTGCAGAGAGAAAGGGAGGCAGCGGCAACAGCTAGAGCTGCCGACATTGCTGATGAGGTGGCTCTCCTCCGGATCCGGGAAGCTAATGCTGACCGGTTCCGGGAGGAAAAAGCTGCTGCTGTAGCAGCCTTGGTCCGACTGCGGACCTTGGAAGACTTTGAGTCTCGTATGACAACACTTGAGCAGCGGAACGAAGAGCTGCAGGCTAAGGTAATTAGCCTTGAACAGTCCCAGTTGTCTGCCTCCCGCCCTCCTAACCCTCGATCTGCTGTAATCCCAGTCTCTCAGCCCAACACAACCCTCGTTCCAAGGGCCAGCGGAACTGCGGTAAGTGCAGGAACCGGAGCAAGCTCCTCAAGCGGCAGCACCGGTAGTTATGCACTGATCGCAGTCCCAAATGCAGGGACTTCAGCCCAAAACGCCACAGTCCTTACCGACGTTCAGTACAACGGTCCCATGGTGGACAAGCGGGCGGCCACGCTGCCGTCCAAGTACGACGGGAAGGCTGACATCACCTCTTGGATTAGTTCCATGGGGTCATACTTCGAGGTCATGCGGACACCGCAAGAGGACCGAAGTATGATCACGGGAACTAATACCGAGCCTGCCGTACGAAACCACATTGAGCTCCAAGCTATTGCTGCATGCTATGCACGCATAGACCTGACTGATTGGCTGAAGGTCACCCCAGTTCGCACCCTTGAGGATCTTCTCCTTGACCGGTATCAGGATAAACATGCTGCACTCAAGGCTAGACTGAAGCTTGAGGCCCTCAAGGGCCAAACATGGAGGTCATCCATGCAGGCTTTGGAACAGCACCTGAATGGTCTATTCACCACTCCGGATCTAGGAATGACTGACGTGTCTTGCAGGGATGTCGTCATGGGAGTGGCCCCTAAAGAATACCTCTCCCTGCTAGCACTCAAGGACCATGCTACCTGGCGAGATCTCATGAAGGACCTAGTCGACCTAGAGGCCAAGGACCTCGCCAGGCGCAAGAAGGCGCCCGCTGCAGGTGGGAAACCACAACGCAAGCGGTTTGGAGGCAGCAACCAGCTTGCACTGCATGATCATCGGGAGGCTGACGATCAGTCCTATGTGGATGATCTGCCTCTAGATAACGATCTAGAGCCGGACTCCGATACGGGCTGTTCCACATCAGCCATTGAGTGTGACCGAAATGATGATGAAAAACTTAATGCATTTAGAAAGACTGCTTCAAATAAGGGGCCTAACCGTGGTTCGGGTAAGGGAACTGTCTTACACCTTCCCAAAAGATCCCTGAGAAACCGGAGGACGCTTCTACCAAGCCTTGGGAAGCCCTCCGCATCAGCCAAAAAGAATGGGAAAGAAGGTCCAAACTGCGCGTATGCTTGCATTGTTCAAAACCTGGGCATGTTGTGCAGGATTGCTATCGTCTTCAGGGAAACAGGCAAGGGGCGTAGAGGAGACATCAGCACTCTCTACAACAAGAGAAGCTGAGCAGTCAGTTGCAGGCCCCTCCGAGGAGCCTGGATCTGATCAGCAGCGTGCTCTTGAAGCCCAAACTAACGCTGATTCCAAGGCTGAGACAGTCCAAGTGTTATTCACTGAGCCTTGGGAGGAGTCTAAAGAGGTCGACCTCCACGCCCACATGGAGCATTGGCTGCAGCTCAAGCAGCAACGCCGTGTCCAAGGGAGCGTGGAGCTGACTTTCTTTAAACTGCTCATTAACCGCCGATACATCCGCGTGCTGATTGACAGTGGTTCGACCACTAACTTCTTCTCTCCGAAC